CTTCCTGGGCATCTTGGAGACGAGTTGGCAGTCGCCCGTCAAGTCGTCTTTATATACTGTAGAAATAAGGTGCGTTGCGCGTGCGTTGCACGTGCGGAGCACCTAGTATGGTGCACGTGTGTTCTGCGTGGTCATTGAGCAGGTCAACTGGGAAGTGAGGAGTGAGCACGGATGACGCAAGCACCGTGCGTGGCACTGACGTGCTTCGTGCGCTGTCCGTACAGCAATTGCACGTGAGAATAGTGAAGTTAGACTCACGGAGTCCGTACGTTGCACGCTCATAGGCTGTACGGGGCACGCGCGTCGCACGTACTCGCACGCACGGGTGGTAAATCCGCAGACCGCACGTAGAAAAAGTATTACATGCACTTAAGGTTCTACGGCGTGTCTGCGTGCTCCCAAATCCGTAGGATTCCGTACGGAGGCGGTACTCACCACGCACGGATGCCGTACGTTTGCCCACGTTTTTGCACGTAGACAGCACGCAGAAGCACGTACGGCGAGTTGTGACCGTCGCTTAAAGGACAATTCGTAACAACACGCTCCCCTACTGTAGCACAGTTAAAGCTTCGGTTACAACCCGCCGTACGTGCTTCTGCGTCCTGTCTACGTGCAATAACGTGGGCAATCGTAGGGGATCCGTGCGTGGTGAGTACCGCCTCCGTACGGAATCCTACGGATTTGGGAGCACGCAGACACGCAGTAGAACTTTAAGTGCATGTAAAACTATTTCTGCGTTCGGTCTACGGATTCACCACCCGTGCGTGCGAGTAGGGGCGACGCGCGTGCCCCGTACGTACCGTACGGAAGAAGCACGTGTGAGTACGGCCTCCTTACGGCAAACGTGCAATCGCACCGAGATTGTACGTTGTAAGCACGTACAACTCACCATTTGCGCAACGAACGATGCACGCAACTGCTCACGGCCAGACGTGGCGTGCAGACCACACTCTTACACCTTGCGCAACCGTGCGAGTGACGTGCATCGACGCCACTCCTTCCCCCCTTTTTCAGAAAAACGTAGCAGACGTAGCCTCCCAAAAATCGTACGGACAAAAAGCACGCACGGCGGGTTGTGACCGGGGCTTTAACAACACGTTCCCCTACTGTAGCACAGTTAAGGTTACAGAAGCCTTAGCCCTGTACACACACCGCCATTGTAGTCTAAACCCTGATTGATGAGTTAGTGAGTACAAAGGTTTATCTAAAACTATTTTGGTCCGCACGTTACACAATACGGCCCGATCTTTGTCGCAACAGAACGTAAACCTTTGACACGTTTTACATAATCAACTGTTTACGTGAAATGGTACTACTTTTCAAGCAGAGGTTTGGGTTTTGGGTTATTTTTGGCGTGTTTTTTTAGGCTTTTTTTTGTCAGGGTTTCTTGTTTTGCACTGGAATGTTTGTTTTACATTACACAATACGGCCCGATCTTTGTCGCAAAAGAACGTAACCTTTGACACATTTTGCATAATTAGCTGTTTACGTGAAATGGTACTACTTTTCAAGCAGAGGTTTGGGTTATTTGCGGCGTGTTTTTAGGCTTTTTTTGTCAGGGTTTCTTTTTTTGCACTGGAATGTTTGTTTTACATTACACAATACGGTCCGATCTTTGTCGCAAAAGACACATTTTACATAATCAACTGTTTACGTGAAATGGTACTACTTTCCAAGCAGAGGTTTGGGTTTGGGGTTATTTTTGGCGTGTTTTTAGGCTTTTTTTTGTCAGGGTTTCTTTTTTTTGCACTGGAATGCTTGTTTTACATTACACAAAACGGCCCGATCTTTTTCGCAAAAGAACGTAACCTTTGACACGTTTTACATAATCAACTGTGAAATGGTACTACTTTTCAAGCAGAGGTTTGGGTTTGGGGTTATTTTTGGCGTGTTTTTTAGGCTTTTTTTTGTCAGGGTTTCTTTTTTTGCACTGGAATATTTGTTGGGTTGGGTGACAAAAAATCCAGCGCAAAAAAGCCCCCAAACGCACCAAAAATAACACAAACTTCTGCTTGGAGAGTAAACTGATGCCCTGTATAAGGGAGTTGTTAGGAGCACCTGAATTCGACCAAACACGTAAACAGGTATTTGAAAACGGCTATTCAAAATTAGAGCGTTTTCAGGTCAGTTTGGACGATACAAACATGTTGAGTGTAGCCAATAGCTTTTAAATTTTGTGTACACTTTCAGATCAACAAGTGAAGTGACATAGCAACAAGACAAAGAAATGAAGACTGTATCTAGGCCACAGCATGAAAATTTTATGGATCACATCCTCCGCAAACGCCAAATCTAATGTGATGGGGCGAAGTAAAAAAAAAACAAGGCGGGCCCCCCAAAAAAACAAGATTCCTAAGATTTTCAAATTTTGACATAATAAACCAAGAAATGATACCTATATTGTGCTAAGTTTACTGCCAACTGTTACAACACCCATTTTGTCACTGAAACAACTGAAACAATTAAAAGTTTTCAATCCTTGTACAAATGGTTTTGATTCAGTGGGAACACCACAATATACACAGCCAGCATCACATATAAAAGGAACGAAATACATCACTGCATCAAAGTAAAAGACAAAAAAAATCATAGCCTCGTCTTGTCCCCTCTCTTCCTAGTTATCTGCCATCCACGTTCCGGCATGGCAACAGACATATTTGCCCATTTTCGGCATGTTGTCGACATTGACCACTGTCAGAGGGCAACAAAATGTCTTTTTCTTCAAAATCAGGTGAAAGTTTATGTTATCCATAAACATTACTTGCTGTGGCCTTCTTATGAATTGTATTCATTGTTCCATGCTCGAGAAAGGTAACGTGTAACGATACTACAGTAACTGTACTGAATACCTGGTTACCTTTTACTGGCTCTATTCAGAAGGCTCTACACCTTCCCTATGTTATCTTATCAGGCACTTAAGGTGACAAACAAACCATCCTTTCAGGTCATCTTAAGTCTGTCGATAGATGGTACGTTTGTGTCCGAAGTGTGTTTATGTGACCCTTCAGGTAGAGATAAGGGGTAGAATCTATTGTAGACAACCCTCTCTGGTTCTTTTGTACAAACACATAGGCTTGACTTACATTCTACGTACCCTGAATCTGATCTAGTTACCTCCGGGGGAGGAGACATCCTTCTGCGGAAGGGTTTTGTGAGAGATTTAGATTTTCATGTTCGCAGCTGTTTCTCGCGTTTGGGTGGACGGATTTTTTGGGGACTCGGTGTATGTTTTGCTATTGGGCTGTAGATGATGCACGTTCCTTTGTTTTTATTGTATATGTGTTTTCGGTCGTGAATATGGTGCCTTTTGGTGGTCCCAGAACACCCCTTTGAGCGTGAAAATGGTCGCGACCTTTGACGTTTGGCGTGTTTAAGCTATTCACGGTCTGGTCCACATATATGACCCCTCGCAAAGAGGGGTGTCTGGTCTCGATAAATTCTTTGTTTAAACACCCTAGTCCTGCGGCGTACAATAATTGTTGTTGTGCACATGTATCTTCTCTAACACATGAAATTCAACACCATCAACTATACATAATAAATTACATGTAGAAATATACAATAGAAAGCTCGGAGGTATAAAATCTCAAATTTTACTTCTTTCACATCATTGGGTTCCCGATAGCTTTACAGTTACACTGCACGAAATCCTACCTTTAAGCACACCTTGTAAAGGCACGTGCAAAGAAAGAAACGGAATCTTTACACGTGCTTTAGGGTGTGCGTAAAGAATGAATTTTGTCCAGTGTTTTGTCCAGTATAAAAAAGCTGTAGCCACAGATGTAAACAAACAAACAAACAAACAAGAGATCTCCATGGAAACTATATATTTAGAGGGTACAGCATTGACTGAATGGCCCTTTATATATAGTTATTCGTTTTCTTTATGACGTTAGTTTGGTAGAGAAGGGCTGGGAGAGTTACCTTGGTGAGAAGAAAGATACTTCCCTAAATCCTCTATACAGAGATCAGTCAGTTCCTACACAGAAGAACTTAATTGCACGACAATTGCACATGGTACAATGTATGGCAAACTACATAAAGAAAGTAACAAACAATAAAATAAATGTATTGAATAAGACCTAATGTCGAATAAAACCTAACATATCTTAATTATTCAAACAGTAAAGGCTTTGATAAAGTGTTACAATCGAGTGGGCTAATCACGAGTTTCGGTATTTTTCTAATAACAAATCAGTCCTTTGTTTTTGCGTTGTGGGAACCATTACATGTAAATATATATTCAAGTCTGTCTCCAACATCGATTAGTTACATATGCATCTTTTACATCTATAGGGTTATGGTGTTTAGAAGAACTTAAAAGTTTACCTCTTTAAGGCCACCTGTTTTAATCATCTAGTATATATTAAATCGGTCTAATGTTTCGTATACGTTGGCCTGTCTCGTAACTCCGTTAGCTGGCGGTACCTTTCAAGTCAGGGGTCAGAACTAGCCCTTTGTTATCGTCGGAAGTCCGCTACAAAGTGGCTTAGAATTCCACCCCGGCTCAACTAGGTGACACATCCAGCTCCGATTACCATTCCCACGAAAGTTTGCAATGAAACTCTTAATAAAGACGACTTTTAAAACGTGTACCAAGATGGAACAGTGAATCTGTACTGGTCGGGGCAGAATATTGGTAGTAAGATATGCCTGACTCACAACACCACCTACTGACTGTCGGTAGCATTGCAACCAACCTACTCGTTGAAGTACTTTTAGTATCATGATCAAGACTAGTGGGCTATGGACACTCTCAATACACCACGGATAGAAGAAAATATGTACAAGATATAACCTGCAATATCATAAAAAACTTTTTTAATATAATGCTACAATATCATAATATATTGCTGCAATATCATAAAAAAATATTTTTTTTAATATATTGCCATCAAAAAGCATACAGCGAGTGCCGATGGGTGGTAATTTTATTAAATGTTGCAGAAGATGTTATTGAAAACATATTATGTGTTTCTATCTTTATCTGTACCTTCCAGCGCTGGACACCACTAACACCCTGGTGAAGATGCAGGTGTTTGAACTGCTGTCTGCCCTTTGTGTTTACTCCGCGGAAGGATACGGCTGCGCGGTCGATGCACTGGAACACCATAAGGTGAGTGATGCGTCCTTACCATCAACTTTCTTACTAAGGCCACAGCAATTAATTTTTATGGATGACATCAGCTCTCGCATTAATTTTCGCCGGATCTTGAAAAAAAAAAATTTTGTTGCCCTAATAGGACAGTGCTCAACATGCCGAAAATGGTCAAAGATATCTGTAGCCATGCCGGAACGTGGATGGTAGATAAATATGAAGAGAGGACACAAGACAAGGCTCTGATTTAATGTTTTGTCTTTTGATAGCTTTGATGCAGTGATGTATTTTATTCCTTTTATATGTGATGGTGGCTGTATATGTGATCTTCCCACTGAATCAAAACCATTTGTACAATGATTGAAAACTTCTTTTCAGTTGTTTCAGTCCGAAATGAATGTTGTAATAGTAAACTTAACACAATATAGGTATCATTTCTTGTTTAACAAGGTGTATGATGTCAAAATTTGAAAATGTAGGAATCTTGTTTTTTGGCCCGCCTTGTTTTTTTTCGCCCTATCGCATAAGATTTGAAGTCTGCGGAGGATGTCATCCATAAAATTTAATTGCTGTGGCCTAAGACTGCGTTAATGTGATCGTAGAGGTTTTAAACATATGTTATACACGATTTAAAACATGTATGTATATATACCTGACTTAACTTAACTTAACTTAAATGAATTTGTATTGCAATGTTAGCTGAAACTGTATTTTTCTATGAATGCTAATGCCCACGTAAAAACATAATATCTATTTTTAAAACAGGAAACTTTTCACAAGTTTCTTGTCTATCTGCAACACTTTTGTTAGAAAACGTCTACCAGAGTTAACAATAGCCCTGGTCGCCAGAACCTTACAGCTTGAAGTGTTGAGGATTCGGTATATGGGTAGGTTTATTCCATACGTCGACAGAAGTTTTGAGACTTCTTTAAAACTCTAAAAAGCTAGTTAAAAGTACTAGTTAAAAGTACTAGTTAAAAGTACTGGTTAAAAGTACTAGTTAAAAGTACTAGTTATAAGTACTAGTTAAAAGTACTAGTTAAAAGTACTAGTTAAAAGTACTAGTTAAAAGTACTAGTTAAAAGCTTCTAAAAGTACTAGTAAAAAGTACTAGTTAAAAGTACTAGTTAAAAGCTTCTAAAAGTACTAGTTAAAAGTACTAGTTAAAAGCTTCTAAAAGTACTAGTAAAAAGTACTAAGTACTAGTTAAAAGCTTCTAAAAGTACTCTAAAAGTACTAGTTCAACTCCAGAGTAGGGAACAATTTACTAGTTCAATTTTCTTTTCCTTGAACAAAAGAAGACCTAAAAGTAGCACGTCGGTTCTGCACGGTTTCAAACATCCAAACGTCCATAGACATAGAAGCTTTTTAGAGTTTTAACTTAAGTACTAGTCCAGCTAAAGACTTTAAGGTGCTCCAGAGTAGGGACAACTTACTAGTTCAATTTTCTTTTCCTTGAACAAAAGAAGACCTAAAAGTAGCACGTCGGTTCTGCGCCGTTTCAAACGTCCAAACGTCAATAGAGTTTTAAGTACTAGTTCGGCTAAAGACTTTGAGGTGCTCCAGAGTAGGGGACAACTTACTAGTTCAATTTTCTTTTCCTTGAACAAAAGAGGACCTAAAAGTAGCACGTCGGTTCTGCACGGCTGAGAATGTGTAGTACCTTCAACAGGACCATATAAATGGAGTGTTTGAGGTGCCCCAATAACGCTTCCTGTTCCCGGGCGCACCTGTGTTAATGAAGCACCTTGTGAAAATACCTGGGCGTGCTGGGGACAAATAGTTACTTAGTCACCTTCTCCCATCCACAAGCAAGAGGCCGTGTCATTTCAACACAAACACGCGGTAGAGTCACGTCTTTCGCACCGCAAAATATTTGACATTTTTACCACTCAAAGGGGTCAGGGAGGTTTTATATGGGGAATCCTTTTTTCGCGGGAAGGTTTTCAGGAACTTGGGTAAACGTTACGGGGTGGTAAAATGCGTCGGAGACTGGGAAACAGCTACAAGCGAGCACGATCCGTGTGGTTATAAAGTGTGAAGTACTGTTCGGGTGAGGGTCTTTTGACTTCGGGCACAGAAGAGCGAGGCACGGATTTACACCGACAGGAGCTAAAATAGGCTCTATTTAGAGAAAAAAGGTATTTCTTCTTACTTTTTTCTACCTTTTTGTGTAACATTCGTGTCCATAATATCACCAGGGTCCATAATATCGCCACCTTGAGAAAAAGTGTGCTTAAAGATATTTTTACTGCAACATACTTTTGGTATGCACTCCTGCACACCTCAAATGTACATACCTGGGGTATGTTGCAGTAAAAATATCTTTAAGCACACTTTTTCTCAAGGTGGCGATATTATGGACCCTGGTGATATTATGGACACGGATGTTACACCTTTTGTCATTCTCACAGGGGCTACCACGAGATTGCCTGAATTACGAATTGCTGTCAAATTGTAAGGAAAAAAGATGGTTACGTAGCAAAAGAGCAAGAGCACTTACATCAAAACTATTGCAGTGTATATCATTTACCATGAGCACCATTTGATATATCTAAGGCCTAGAATAGGAAATGTAAGGCGAATATAGGTTGCGATTACTATTTTTACCTATTAAATATTACGGAATTTGTTAGGTTGCCTTATAAAGGTTCTTTCTAAGGATTAACCTAAATCTAAAGTTATCGGCAAAGTTTTCAAAAACCTAGGATTACAAACGTACGGGAACTTTGGTGAAGTGTGTAGTACTCTATATGTAGAAAGTGGTGAAATACAAAAATGAGTATAAAATCAGTAGAACACACAAGTCATCAAAAACTCATGATCCAAATGTCTATACATGTATTATTATGTTGATCCTGTAAATACTGCAATTGGCGCTAGGTGGCGATTCTGATATTGTCCGTCCTTTGGTAACTTCAGTACTTCTTGCACCTACCTTTTATTCCAGTCTTCCGTCCCTGTGAAGAAATGATGCACACTTCTATTCAAATTTTGCATTTTCTCTATTTTTGTATGAACATTTTAGCCCCCCCCCCCAAAAAAAAAACAACACAACAACAACCTGATCCCTCCTAAACATTCTTGGTATCGCCCGGAGAATTTATTCCAAACGTCTGACCAAAGAAGGTTTAAAACAGAACCTCCTTGGTCTGACAAATCTCAATCAACAGCCTGTACAAATAGTAAACGCCTTTAGTTTACCAAGTTCGTCCCGAACAACAACACACGTAAGCCTGGTAGCGCTAGCGCTAGCAGACACGCCATGTTCTGACGGTTGACCTTCAGTTACCCTTCAAAAACTAGACCGGTTCTTTAATTTGTATTAGCAGCGAAGCGCGGGACGGGCCGGATTGTCGTCTGCAGATCATGCGCGCAGAGAAGCGGTGTGACACCGGTGTACAGTTCCGTCCGTACGTGCATGATGGCGCATGGGTACGCCGTGTTGGGGAAAAGCTAGTCTACCAGACTCTTTTGTAGGCCGAATAAAAAGGAAATCGGCCTAAAACAATGTAGCTGGCCAGGCCATAGAAGGTCTAGTTTCCCTATATAAAAATCTGTTTATTCAGCCTGAAAAAGGGTCTGGTGGAGACTAGAGAAAAGTAGTCTCTACCAGACTAACTATGCTGGCTATATATAGGAGAATAATTGCCAGGGGAGTTTGGCCGCCTTGTAGGTTTGACAGGCCACGCAGTTCGGAGGGAAAGAAACTACCTCCCCGCGGCCGGACTCCCTTGGCCAATTTTACTCTATTTTTTTTTCCGAATTCTACGATCCGTATTCCCGTAGAATGGCCTGGTGGAGGCTTTTTAGATGTGTTTGCTAGGATGTGGGCGAGTTAGAATTACCTCAAAACGACGTCCTGTTTGTGAACAAGCTTTACCAACAGGAATCCAAGTGTACAACTAATGATTTACAAACAAATTCGAGGCCGTTGAACCAAAGGTCAGGACGACTGGAAAAGGTACATAAACTCCTCATTAGACCAAGGTTACATGTTAGTGACACACTAGTGACAATTCCCATGCAGTTTAGCTGGCTAGAGTAGCTCCAAAAACAATTCGAAGGCAATATGGTAGTCTAAGAAAATAATCATATCATTTGTATTGATATTTGCTATCAATAAGCGATGTCAGATATACTCCCGCCCGCATCCTTGCTCACTAGTAATGATAACATGAGTCATTGACCAGCTAAGCCAATCAACGAAGCGTAAAATTAAATCAATCACTGTTCGCAGGCGACCAAGGACAAACGTCACCGGTTCTGTCTCATCACTGACGAGTTAAAGAAGGCAGAGACTGTGCAGTACAAGACAACACTGCTGGGCTTCATCAACTGTATCATCATCTCTACTGACGGACTGGAGGACCGGGTCAGGATACGGAACGAGTTCATAGGTCAGTCAGTAAGGTCATAGTTTTTTTTTATTCCAACATGTAATCACCAGACGTGGTGACGACACACTCAATTTTCTTCAACTTATATTAATGCCGCCACCAACAGAGGGGACAAATACATGACAGGACAATACTCATTTACACCTGAGCTAAGTGAGGAAAGACGTGTAAAGTGCCTTTCCAAAGGGCACAAGATCGGTGGCATGTCAGGACTCGAACCCGGGACTCTTAGTTCCGAGTCGCGCGCTCTGCCGCTACGCCACACGACCCCACGTCGTGGAACTATTTAAGGTCATAGTTCATACAGTACTAGTAGGCCAGTGTTTGTCAGTGTTTATTCATGATACCTCAAAGCTTTAAAGGCACCCAATGCGGTTTCAGGGCTCCGAATAAGGCAATCTTTAATTTGTGATATTTGACACATAGTGCTTCACATTAGCACATTCGAGTCAGCATTTCATATTTAAGGCATTTAAAACTGCAGAAACAAGCCTCAAGATGAATCCTTTATTTTCTAGGTGGTACCCTAAAATCAACTCAGGGCCATTCCATTATATTATAAACATTTTCCGTCAGAATTTGTGGATTTTCTTACAAGGGTCACTATACGTTGGGATAGTGTGGTTTCAACTCAGTATGTAGATAAGTTGGCTTTAAAAAACGGGGTTTCCAAGCCCTAAAAACTGGATGCCTTTAAAGAAAGAAAAAAAGTTCTTATTTATCTAAGAATTCGTTGAAGAGGTTCATCAGTCATCCTAGCTATCTAAGATTCAATGTTTCTTCATACAAGATTGTGTCTGTATACTGATATACTTTGATAGTTCGTCAACTTTTCATGTTTTAAGTTTTAAGTCAGCTTCACAATAAAACACAATCTTTACACTGACTCCTATCAAACTTAATCAGTGAGCGTAGGAAAATTCTTCGGCATGTTAACAACGGGCATGTGAACAAAATCCTTCAAATTAATCTTGACATCTATTCGCTTTGATATGTATTTATACGTGTTATGATGATGATGATGATGACTGGTTTATTATTCGCAATAAACAAATACAGAGACATACAGATTTAAAAGTCGGTGGCAGCCTAAATGGCTGAATTGTAGACTTTTTTACAATTTAAAATCTTGAGAATATTAACAATTGAGACTTCAATACAAACACTACATATACATAGGAAATACAATATTAAAAGTACGAAAAGCCTGTTCGGCCAGTACAACAACCAGTATTATAAAGCCAGTGTTATAAAGGTTGGCTGATAGTGGCCTATGACGACATCTGTATCACAGTTTGCCTGTCAAGTTCCCGCTCAAAATAACCGTCTTTCTCAGTGACACAACGTTTGATCTCAGGTGAGATCCTGCGCGGTGTCAGTGAAACCAAACGACAGTATGTGTTATCAGATGTCCGCCATGTCAATCAACACCCCCCTCCCCACAGAACGACCCGCGTTTTCACACGGCACTAACATCACGTGACACGCATGTCGTCACCTATTGGTCCATGGATGAGCTCCTGTGTGATAAAAAAAGGCCGTATTGACGTCTCGCACATGTCACATCGATCACACAGGTGTGACGTAAGCTGTTGTGTTGTCAAAACAAGGACGTGTTGTCTAAGGTTTCATACGTGCGTGTGTCGTGCGTAAGCGGAATGATTTTGTTTTCTTTGATGATCTTCAGTTGCACTTCTTTTAGTCGACGTAAACAAAGATCGTGAATAAGAATAAGAATAGAAAGATAAGAAATGCCAGCCAGCATAGGGCAATAGCTAAACTGGAGTGTGTGTGTGTGTGTTTTTTTTTAGAAAAAAAAGTATACGATAGAAAAAATCATCTTCCACGGCTCATATCACGTGTGGTCTCGCGATAACTGCCTACGAGCATACCAATGAAGCCACGTGTCTCTACAGCAAACTGTCTCTGAATGTGAAACTTCCAGCTACCATTTTTGTGACTATGTTCTTGCAATTTGCTCTTTAGTGTGACTGACGTCCGTCAACCACCTTCATCGACGAACAAGGTGTTATACATAAAGAAATAAGAGTAACATTCAATTTATGACATCATGCCTCAATCTGGTTGGTTGATCTCACCACAATCGTACACAGTAGGAAAGCAAACATATAGGGTAGCACTAGTAGTAAAAATAACATGACCAGGCACTTTGCCAACTTGGATACCTGGAAACCAGACCTGTTTTCGGGACCACTATATCATATGCCACCATTTTTTGCGCTAAAATTAGCCGAGCGCTTTGTACTGCGGCGTCTTGTGTGTTATGTAAACTGAAGATCCTTCTCTGTGATGCGGTCAGAACAGGGAGGCATTGTAGTTGATCCGGGGAAGTGTCTGAAAGAAAAAGAAAAAGAAAGGTCCCGTTCCACTCTATCCAGAGCATAGGGGTGGTGCCCATCTCCATTTCCGTAGCCCTTGGGCGACACACAGTTGTGCAAGGCACTACAGCAGGGGGCTAGTCCGCTGGTAGTGCTGTGTGTTTGACCTTCCCGCACTCTTTCTCATATGTACTGAGTGCTAAGCAGAGAAAGAAGTGTGTGTCATTTTAAGGTCTTTGGTATGACCCGGCCGGGGTTTGAACTCACGACCTCCCGGTTACAAAGCGAACACTCTACCAATTGAGCTATTGCACCGGAAGAGTCTGGGCTTATGTTATGTAATGGTTGGGCAAGAGTTGGACAAGATACCCATCAAAGAACACAACAGTACCAAGTTGCAAATTTTTGTATTCACAGTCCTGTAGTGTTACTTCATGTAGTTTTGAACAACTCTTTCCTGTCTGTTCTGAAAACATGATCAAACAGGGTTCGGTGTGATTGTATGTTGGGGGGGGGGGTCTGTAACTATGGTCTTTCCTTTGCCCTTTATCCTCCCTTGTCCAAAGACGCGTGCGACTTTTCCGTGAAAAAGGTCAGCTAGCGGCTGACGTGGTTTCACTGCCTGTAAAGAAAGCACAGCACAGGGTTCGTTTGCTACCCAAAATTCCTTCAGAAGGCTCAGACATGGTCTTGACGTGTTGCAACATTGAATGAGGGAAAATGAGAAAACTTGTACAGTAACACGATCGTTCAACATCATCACTGTAAGGCCCTCCGCGGAGCATCCGGGGGTGTGCTGTCTAATTTGTGAACGGCTTGTCCCTTACCCTGAGTTCGTACACCGTGTCCAGACGTGTGCGCGCCCGGTGTGAAGCCATATACATGATATCCTGCCAAATACATGACTCCAACACTACTTGGGGGTTTCCAATATACCTGAGACAAGGGGTGGGAGGGGTTTAGTCGTGATGTGGGAGACTAAACCTAGCCTATCCCCAATCGTAAGCTTAACGCTAACCCTAATCCTAACCCTAGCCCTAAGCCTAGCCCTAGCCCTAGCCCTAACCCTAGCCCTGGCCCTGGCCCTAAGCCTAGCCCTAGCCCTAGCCCTAGCCCTAGCCCTAGCCCTAGCCCTAGCCCTAGCCCTAGCCCTAGCCCTAGCCCTAGCCCTAGCCCTAGCCCTAGCCCTAGCCCTAGCCCTAGCCCTAGCCCTAGCACCAGCACTAGCCCTAGCACTAGCCCTGGCCCTAGCCCTAGCCCTAACCCTAGCCCTAGCCCTAGCCCTAAGCACCTGACGTCTTACGTATGTGGCAGCTCAAGGATTTGGCTCAACACCGGTGGACCCAACCGCCGGTCGGAAACATCAAAGCCGATAATTGTAAGTGGAGGACGACTTACATTACAAGCCCTGTTGGTCGCCTTGAGAGTTTCCAATTTGTCGGAGCTGGCCTAAGCACACTCGGTGATTAAAAAACTATTGTCGTCCCGAGGGAAGCGCTTTAATCCCCGATCTCGTCGGGAAAAAATCCCAAGTATGTCCGCCCAATCAGCCGCTCACGTGCGGCAACGTGTCGTCCGGAAGATTGGGTTTCCCGCGCTTTTCATTTGTTTCAAATCTACCCGCCAATTAAGTTACCTCCCGCGGATTGCAAAACGTTGCGCTGCCATGGCAACAGACTCATGGACTGGATCAGACGACATTTTTTGGTCAGTATTTCACGACATTTTGGTCAGTATCTCACGACATTTTGGTCAGTATTTCACGACATTTTGGTCAGTATTTCACGACATTTTGGTCAGTATTTCACGACATTTTGGTCAGTATTTCATGACATTTTGGTCAGTATCTCACAACATTTTGGTCAGTATTTCACGATTTTTTTTAGTACAGGAGCCAATCGTTCAACCCGTACATAAAAAATATATATTTTTGTAGAGGGGGTCCTTCTGAATCAAAAATGATGATTTTTTTTTTGCTCAAATTGTGGTATCATGTACTAGCGCTAATTAAAGGTGCACAGGTGTAAAAATGCATATTTCTAAGGAGGGACCAAAATCTAAGCATGAACATTTTTTCCTGAATATTGCAACACTAGTAAACCTTGCGCCTGGAACGTAACGCTGAATGCATCTTTTACAAAATCGACGACGTTAAACATGGCTTATGAAAGTGACGTCACCCACCAATGACGACACGGCTCCCCGTGCGTGGGTCAAATGCCTTCGTCAAATTAGTTTCTCACGGTGACCAGGCGGCAGCTTTACACACACGACCAGACCAGGACCACATCACACGCAGACTGTACACACACTGTGTTCCCTCCCGCGTCTGGTTTCAACACAGCCGTGTTTACAGTTTATAAAAACCGTGTCGTGAGATCGACCGAAAGTACTGCCGTACGAGACGACGATTGAATGAAGATCAACTCTTTGGCTTTAGACTGGAAGGCGCTTTACGTGAGTCCGTACTTCTATCAAATTATCTGCTCCGCTCCCACAGTTAAAAACCTTACATTGTACAGACGGTAATCACACACCTTACATCACAGCCTGTCAAAGGTACCTTTTAATAATGGGGTGCAAGTTAGCTAGTTTACTTCAAAAAGACGTAATTATATGATGGCTAATTTGGCTATCTACATGCCATAATTCAAGAGTTGAATGCATAG